GCTAATCGTTAAGTACATAATCATTGTTGTACTTGTACTTGTAAGTAGGAGGCTGGGGGAGGCTGGGGGAATGGATGTAAGCATACAAAGCCAGCACTGATGCAGCTACAACAGCAGTTGTAGCTGCAAGGGAGCAGCCATTATCAGAAGGCCAAGTATTGTACACGCCCATACCAAGAGAAGCACAAAAACACCTGCAAATGCATTGGGACTAAACACGCACGCGCACACACACACACACACACATGCACACGCACGCACGCACATGCATGCACATGCACACACACACACACACACACACACGCACACACACACACACACACACTTGTCCTTGTTGCACACTGCCAAAATTGGTCACGTGAGTCTCCCCGGGAGGGGGGAGAGAGACTGGAAAGGAATCTTGGAAAGATGACTCAATTGGCTTTTGAACCGCCCAACGGCTGACACCCCCAGAAACCCCCAAAACTCTGAGTGGGCTTGAAAATGATTCCACTTATGGGCTCACCACACCTCAGTAAGTGAGTGAGGACAAGATGCAGAACAAGTAGAAACACACACGCACGCACGCACGCACACACACGCACACACGGTTAGTGTATCGCCAGGTTCACTGACCTGCTGCTCAGCTTTGGGTTCGGTGGTGTTGCTGGTGGTGGTGGTGTCGGTCGTCGTCACATCCAAGTTTGCAGAAGCATCCATGGCAGCAGCAGCAGTACCACCACCCATGCTACTATTACCCGCCATAGCGGCTTGACGCTGTTGCTCCAATTCCAGCGACTCCTTTAGCTCCGGGAAGAGGTCGGGATACTTTGCTGGGTCAGCAAGGCTGTCCGCTGCTTTCTGGTTGGTCTTTCCTAACTCCTCTTTCCAAAGCTGAACAAGACTAAGAACATGACCGGCAAGATACAGACACACACACAGGCACACCCGTCATGTCAGTGTCTGCTTCAAAGCCGAGTCAGCGAGGGGGGTCGTGACATATTATTTTTATGAGTGCCTGATGTCAGTAGCTGCACTTGAACGTACCCGTTTCTAACCCGGTTGCAAGAGTTGTGCCAGGCACTAGTACATGTGTACCCGGTTGGTGTTGATATCCTAGAGCAGACACTGCATGTACCCGGTTGGTGTTGATATCCTAGAGCAGACACTGCATGTACCATGTATATGCCTGTCGCAAGAGAAGTACGCAAATCTGCAAATGCACTGGATATTCCTTTACCAACCAGCCTCGGCTACTGAGTACTGGGAACTCAGAGCCACTGGACATACCAACCACGTCAGCCATGAAAGCTATACAGTATGAGTAACGACACACTGGATTGTGGAGCCGAAACTAGTCCAACTTCCTAATGCTTTGGCAAGAAGGTAGCCTTCCGACAGGTTGGCATCACACACACACCCACGCACCCACCCACACCCACACACACACTATGAAGCAAGCTGCAGAAAGCAATTATTACAAAACGACGGTAGAAAGCACACTGCTAAGTGCTAATGTCACCGGTATCTGGGATTGCGTGTCAGACAAACATGTCTGGGTCGGATTGCTTGTTGCAGTCATTCGAGTTTGAGAGTTCTGCACTTACTCAGACATGCGGCTTGGTCGATGTGAGCGAGCAAATAGAGCTGCCTCCGCAGGCCGTCCTGTGCTTACTAGCAAATCAATACAACCATCCAGACTGCAACCACGTGCGCGCGCACACACACGTACACAGGCAGACAGGCAGACAGACAGGCAGACAGACAGACAGACAGACAGACACAGGTATCAGATGGCCACGCAGAGGTTGCTGCATTCTTGTATCTACGCTGACTTCAAGAAATCTTTGTACTCAATGGCTTAATCAAATGATTTGGATTTTTGACAGCTCGTTTGAGATTATTGGGCAGTAAGTCCACCAATAACGGTACCTTTGCAGCTTGCCACAATACATACAAGAGAGACAAGGATAGTTACCGGTTCAATCTGAGACAATTGAAAACTAAAGCCGTCAGTCTGAACTTTGAAGCCTGAGACTACAGAGTGGTCCTTGCCTCTCGTATCAGTGGCAAGCAATAGCATAAACAAAACAAGCCATAGACATTTTAAACTACTCACTTTCCCAGCAGGTAGTTGGCAAGGAAAGCAACATTGTTCTTGCCAGCTGTCTTGGCTTCATCAGCCATACACTGTACAGTGTTGCGATCACCAGTGGATGTGGCCAACAGTAACTGACCATTGTAGTCCTTGGCCTCAACCAGACACTGCTTAGCGAGGCCAAGTTCTGACATGCCCAGTGCCAAATCTGCAAGCTGCTTCCACCGGGATTCCGACTGGAAACAAGGAAAAACAGAAAAGAAAATGATTGCCCGAAGCAGGGAGTACTTTGCAATGGGCAATCCTGGTCCATGATCAGGATGACAATGAGAGCAATATTGAATATCTTGGTGTGCCGAAGTGCAGTAAGCAGCTAGATTCTCCCACAATTGAGGAGGGGCAACACAGCTGTGTGTCACAGTGAGTAGCAACAAAGAAAGGCCAGGAGAAAATTGCACTACCTGAAGTAGATAAAACATAGTGCAACTTCTACAAGTCAGATCCTTCCATAACTTATCCCATGGCAATTCCAGCAGGTTTTTTGCCATTTCTGAATCCATCAGCAAGCTGAACCCACAGGGAGAACTATGCAGTCGGAATAAGAGCTAGTCCAAACAATAAGAGGATGAAAAAAGTGTTTTAACTCTGAGTTTCACGCACTAAGCGATCACCAGAAAACAGTACTGAGCAAATCTGGATCAGTACTGGTTTAGATACCTACAAACTTGCAAAGTGTAAATGACTGCATCATGGTGCAAATCTAAAAAGTGCGAATGACAGCAGTGCAAAGTGTAAATGACTGCATTATGGCGCAAATCTAAAAGGTGCAAATGACAGCAGTGGTGAAAGGTATCACTTCAAGTGACAAGCACTGGAGCTTGTTGTCTCCTACTTGATTAGGTGATGGCTGCGGATGGTTTGAAGTTCCGAAGGTAGTACTTATTCTCGTGGCGACACAAGTTCATCACTCCTCTTGTTGAGAGAGAGGTGCTTGCGCGATTGCTAGTTTTTCCGTCAGGCACAGGTTGCACCTTTTCTTTTGTTGCTGTAGGCCACTGCTCTGCGGTGTACCGCCCATTGAATGCTGCATGCCTTCCCTTCATCCTTTTTGGCCCAGACGTATTGCGATAGGCGGGTGTCCACTTTGCACTGCTGTCATTCGCACTTTTTGGATTTGCACCATGATGCAGTCATTTACACTTTGCAAGTTTGTAGGTATCTAAACCAGTACTGATCCAGATTTGCTCAGTACTGTTTTCTGGTGATCGCTTAGTGCGTGAAACTCAGAGTTAAAACACTTTTTTCATCCTCTTATTGTTTGCAGTCGGAATAAGAATATTATTCCAGAGTCAGCAAGCGCACTGCAGATGTTCAGGCCAGGCTTGTGGTGGGAAAAGTACAGAAACAGCACAGGTGTTGGTCTTGCTCACCTGTGCTTCACGAGCTATCTTCACAGCCGCTGCTACGTCCTTGATAGCCACAGCAATCTCAAACCTGTACAGATGTTGATGCAACGCAAGAAGACAGCACTCGTCGTGAATACATGATTGTCGGCCTGGTATCTTTCTGCTGAACGTGCAAGTGAAGGAAGGATTCTGATAGCCTCAACTATTGAGAACATTTCCCAAAAGCGTTCGACCCATTCTCATTGGGCTGCTCCTTGAGTTGTTGGGTGACTCTTGACTAAGGGGGTGTCAGGAGGCTACCTCAGTAGGTTTTCATTGCACATGTATACATTGTATAGATGTATGTATGTTGATGTGTTCACACACACACACGCTAGCCAGCTTCCCTGACATACATGTACATGTGCCCATGGCGACACAACATGATGAATAATACTTTCAGGATCCCTAAAAGAGATGCAATCACAGTGCCTCCAGGGGATCCTATTGACTACCCTACTGTTGAGCAGCAGTGCATGTAGAGTACATGGGGGCATTGGCAGCAGGGTGCCAGGGTCAACCATACACTGATGAGAATGCATGGGCATTGGTAGCAGGGTGCCAGGGTCAACCATACACTGATGAGAATGGATCGAAAGACATTCGACGAGTTTCTTGACACTTGAATACTGTTCTAAAACTAGCGACGTGCTTGCTCCGTGTACGTAAATTTTCTGTCTCCACAGCCTGAGTTCAAACACCACGTTCTATGCAACAATGCAACAGAACCATGAAGGAAGCCTAGAGTCCAAAGCTTAGAGGGTTATTACTTTCAGTTAACAGGGACAGTAGTGAAACACATGTATACGGTGTGTGTACAACAATTCAATGATAATACCACCTACTTGTGCTCAACGTCAGTGGTAACTTGCAATGCTTGCTTCTTGAAACCCTGTAGGCACAACACAGCATGTCAACATGACTGCAAGTTATCACTCAGCAGGTATGTAGTTCACATGCACGTTCAGTGCTCACGGCCGTAAGGCCAGCGCCCAGTGACCGCTTGACTTCTCAAAGGATTTCAATGCCCACCGAAGTACACCAGTAGACATACAGCACTGTACATTAATATCATGTGTAAATAAGCTCCCAACGGTATGTAACTCTGCATATGGGGTTCCGAACTGCGGATCTGCTGGTGTCCTGCTTGTATGCGCAGAATCGCTAAAATGATGTAATCCAGGAATTTTGCCGTAACAGCAACCCATTCAAGCTGCACGCTCTTGGTTTTATGTACTCTTGCTTGTACAGGGTACCAAGTAGGGAAGTCTTGCTTGTACAGGGTACCAAGTAGGGAATTCTTGCTTGTACAGGGTACCAAGTAGGGAAGTCTTGCTTGTACAGGGTACCAAGTAGGGAAGTCTTGCTTGTACAGGGTACCAAGTAGGGAAGTCTTGCTTGTACAGAGTATCAAGTAGGGAAGTCTTGCTTGTACAGGGTACCAAGTAGGGAAGTCTTGCTTGTACAGGGTACCAAGTAGGGAAGGATAAGTACCCAAGAAAGGGTCAGCAAAACTAAGTACACTGTGGTTAACAGTTAAAACGAGAACGGCCATTAGCAGTAAACCACTGACCTGCTTCTCCAAGAAGCGAGCAACGCGAGTCCTCTGGTTATCTGGGATCTGTGGCAGGTACTTGTCAGCAGTATCAAAGTCTTTGCGCATAACTGCTGTCTGATACTCCAGAACGGATAGTGGCAGTGAGTAACTTGTGACACTGACATCCTTGTCACCCAGGTAAACACGATTCTCCTTGGGTAGGTAGCCAAGAATGTACATTTTTCTGCAAGTGTATGTATAGGGTAAAAAAGAGAGAGAGAGAGAGGGAGAGGGAGAGGGAGAGAGAGAGAGACAGACAGAGAGAGACAGAGAGAGACAGAGAGAGACAGAGAGAGAGAGAGAGAGACAGTCAATTACAGTAGGAACAAGACAGCGTTCAGCCTCCAACAATCATGAGCAGTATCAGGAAGAGAGTGCCTGTCCTGTGTGTGAAGTGTACTGTTAGTGTTTACCCATATTATTCACCATTGTTCGGATACAGTTCTGTTTCGGACAATTGTTTGGTTCTTCCTAAATACTATCAATGATGCTGAGCTGAGGCTTACATATTTATTATGTTGTTGATAGACAAGTGCAATGCAAATATACATGTACATATACATACTCGATGTACACGTACATAGCATGGATCCGATCAATATCACAGTTGACTGACTGTTCTCAAAGCATGCAAACAGACTGTGTACTAATGACAGCGACTGAACGAGGACGATGCAGATGAGCAGTTTGGCAAGCTTCTAGCACGTGCAGGCACAGGCATGCACCTATCCTATACATATGCGGGCCAAAACAAGTTTCAGAATTTGGGAAAAATGACCCGGTCGGCCGACCAGAAACAAGGTTCTTATCTGTTTTGGCCTAAAGTAGGATCGCAGCAACTGACAAAGTCAGCAAGTCAGCACCAGCCAGTCAACATGTATATGTACGCAATGTAAAGTATACACAGTCATGTGCCCAATGTAAAGTATACACAGTCCTGTATGTGTGTAAGTGCTACTGAACACCAGCTGCAGCAGGCGGAGGAGCAGGGACAGCAGCAGTAGCAGTTGCTGTGCTGGTACTAGTGGAGATCCCATCTAATGGCCAAGCATTCTTACCGTTCCAAGTGTGAAATGGTGATGATCTCCCCGCCAACAAAGTAGTTGAGGCGATTCACTATTGGCATAGAGCACGTAAAGAAAGAACAGGAAGCCAGATTGAATTCAAGCACAATGAAAATAGCTAACAACACTCAGTCTGGGCTGTCAAGAGTCACACAGCGCACACTGTAGGACATGCTACTCCCTACCCTGCCGTAGTTGCTGGACATGCAGTGCAGTGCAGTGCAGTGCAGCGCTGTCCTTGCTGCCCACTTCAAACCTGCACTGCACAGAACAGCACAGTGCTGCACAGCTGCAGAACAACACGGCACAGCACAGCACCACACAGCACAGCACCGCACAGAATCGCACAGTGCAGCACAGCACTGGATAGACACTTACCTGAGTTGCTATAGATGAAGCAGTCTCCCACCCATACGCCTGAGCGCACAACCTCACTGATCTCAGAGACAAACTGAACATGGCCATAGACAAACAAACAAACAGACAGACAGATACACACAATATGATACAAGAAAATCTGTGCTACTATTGCATAGGAGGTTGATGTGAGCAGGTCAACAGCTGCCTGGACAAACGTCTCGGAAAACAGCAAAGTAAGTGCCCATCTGGTTTCCGGGACTTGACTGGATAATTCTGACCTAACTAATTCATGGATGATGGCCACTGGCTGAAACGTTTGAAATCTCCCTGGCGGTGTTCTGGTACTGTGTCCACTGTGCGAAGAATGTACAATCATGTAGTTAGAGCAGAGAGAAAGTCCCTAGGTCAGGACAAGATGAAGTTAAGAGAAAGTCCCTAGGTCAGGACAAGGTGAAGTTAATTAAGAGAAAGTCCTTAGGTCAGGAAATAAAGATGAGGCTACAAGAGGTGCATCGCTCACTTTAACTACATTTTTAGATGACACCAAAATGCCTGACCGACACAAATGGTGACGGAAGCCAATCATAAAATTGACAATGGACATTACCTGCCAATTCAGACTTACGTCAAATGCTTGCTCGATTCCATCCTCTGGATCAATGTCCTCCTTGTGTTCGAATGCTGTGTCAACAGCAGACTGATCAAAGCGCAAAATGAAATATGCCTCATCCGTGCAAATAGCTATCAGCTCTCCATTGTCAGACCAGTAGACTTTATGTGGTACAATCAGGATGCGCCGGACCAGCTCCAGAGAGTCCCAGGTGTAGAATGCTAGAGAGTTAGTGGACTTGACACCCAACAGATTTCCACCAAATATGCCTGAACAGGAAGAACAAGAAGATATCAGGAATGACTTGCAACACTCCAAGACCCTAGAGAGATAGGGCACTAAGTAAA